TTTTCTGTGAACCTAAAACTACTCTAAAATATAAAGCCTATTAAAAATTAAAATTAAAATATTTTTTAAAGAAAATATTTCAGTGCTTGCTATAGATGGATGTAATGCATCTGGATTAATGTAACAGAATGTTTTAGTTTTTATGTTTTCAATTAGTTGAATTTTCAGTGTATAGACATTATTCAGTAACATAAAAATTTAATAATTAAAATAAACATAGCTTCTTATTCACATGAAAAAAATAGGAAACTGGTTTTTCAAAAAGTGCATCTATTTGTTTATTCATGTGGTTAGCCAGTCACTCCATTAGCCTCAAGCCTAAGCACTATAAGCATTGATAATTAAAGGCCATAGAACAAGGTTTTTACTTTCAGAAAAAAAGCTTAGAGTCTAGAGGTAGAGAGACCTATAAACCAATTATAATACACTATTTTGAAAGAGATATCTTCTACGGTAACAGAAAATAAGTATTACACCAAAGATTCAAAAGCACAAATCTAGGATGATTCCCACGTTTCTAGCATGAGATGTACTCATTTAAGGTCATAATATGAAGCAGATATTATTCTGGGAAACCTCAGGGTTGTCATAACACCTCCTTCTCACTCACCTAACCCTTACATACAAAGTAAATACATCACTAAGTATTACCCATTTTACATCCTAATGATCTCTCAAATCTGACCAGCCTCTACTTTTCCACCTACACCACCTTAGTCCATCTCTCTCTCCTGAGCTATGATTATAGCTTTTTTGACTGATCTCCCAGCATATGCTCTTGTTTCCCTCCATTCTAATTTCTACACTGAAGCCAGAATAAGCTTCTAAAAATTCAAATTATGTCACTCTCCCATTTAAAATTGTTTACCAGTGAATTCCTGGTATTCAACATGGCCAAAGAGAAAGATTAGGAGCCTGTTTCCATTCTAGACTCATCTTGTGCTCTCTCCCTCTTGTTTACTCATCTCTAGTCATATTGGCCTTCTGTTTCCTTTTTTTAAAATGTTTATTTTTGAGAGAGAGAGCACAAGCGCACGCACGCACACATGCGCACACCAGAGGGGGAGGGGCAGAGAAAGAGGGGTACAGAGGATCCAAAGCGGGTTCTGTGCTGAGAGCAGACAGCCTGACATGGGGCTCAAACCTACAAATCCAGAGATCATGACCTGAGTTGAAGTCAGATGCTCAACTGACTGAGCCACCCAGGTGCCCCTGGCCTTTTGTTTCTGGATCTCATTTTTCTCTTGCCCCAAGGCCTTTGCACAAGCCATTCCCTCTACCTAAAATGTTCTTCCCATTCTTTTTGCCCACCTTTTACTCAGCCTGTAGTTTCAATTCAAAGGATATGGACCCAGGTAAACCTACCCTGACTATCCAGATTAGATCAGGTCTTCTCTGTTATAGGTGCTTATAACTCTGTCTTTGACTTCATACAACTCTCATGGTTCATAATTATATATTTGTATGGAAATTCATTCAGAGATTCTGACAGATGAGAAAAACCAAGGAGAGGTAACAATATGGTTAAAGGAGTAGGCTCTGAAATAAAACTGTTAGATTTCAAATCCTGTCTGCACCACTAACTGGCAATATGATTTTAGGTTTACTGTGTTCTTCAGTTTTGTTATTTATATTATTAGGATAATAATAGTATTTACCTTAAAAGGTAGTTGTGAGAATTTAATGAGTTAATATATGTAAGAAGATTAGAACGATGCCTAGCATATTTATGTGCTCATTGTTAAATATCATTATTAGTGCTTTGACTGATAATGATTTTTCAAAACTCTGAAGACCCAAAATTTACCCAGAAGCATTTTTGATGATTTTGTTAGTAAAAGAGCAAGTTTAAAAGAAGTTAACTTCAGGATGCAAATGAACTTCCAACTGTTTAGCATCCATTTATCCAAAGCTAGAAAAAAAATGACTGGCCAAGATAAATATGCTCTAAATTCTTGGGATTTTTAAATACAATTTTAAATTTATACCAAATATATGCTGGTTTTAAGATAGTCAGAATGATAATATCTTGCTTTCACTTCTTTGCCCCATAATATAGTTGCACGATTGATTTAAAATAGTGAATTAGGGGTGCCTGGGTGGCTCAGTCAGTTAAGCATCCAACTCTGGATTTCGATTCAGGTCATGATCTCGGTTTGAGAGTTGCAGCCCTGTGTCGGGCTCTGTACTGACAACCTGGAGGCTGCTTAGGATTCTCTCTCCCCCTTTCTCTTTGCCCCTTCCTCACTTGTGCGTGCGTATGCACCCACTCTCTCTCTGCCCCCACTGCTCATGCTCTCTCAAAATAAACTTAAAAAAATAAAATAGTGAATTAAATATGAGAAGTTCCTATGGTCCTTCTGTAACTTTCAGCCCCAACTGATATTATCATCTCTACCATTTTTGCAATCTTTCCAGCTGGATCTCTAATCTTTCTATGAAAGCAGAGAATACATTTTCTATTTATCAGTCTCATAAGCACTTTGCATGTCATAAGCATCGAAATACTTGGTATACTTGATAACATACCTTTTAGTAACCAAAATATGTACTTAATCAGAGCCTTTATGTCTTCTATTGTATGAAAGAATCAGTTTTAATTCTTAGTAATATGGTAAGAAATTATGTTGTTTAAATAAATTATGATATATAAAGCAACACCAAGAAATCCTTAAATATGAGGGTGTATCTTTCACCTCATGTTTATAGTATAATGTCATGTTTAAAGAAAAACAACAGGGCACCTGGGTGGCTCAGTCAGTTAAGTGTCCGACTTTGGCTCAGGTCATGATCTCATGGTTCAGGGGTTCGAGCCCTGCATCAGGTGCTGTGCTGACAGCTCAGAGCCTGGAGCCCGCTTC